TAAGAAATCATTCCTCTCCACTATTCTGCGGAAAAAAATCTTTACACATTCCAGGAAGCATTCCTCTTGGATTTACTGCACATACACGATGCCTCATCACTTCCTGGAATGTCAATTGTTGACTCAGACTCTTGTAAGCCCCTCTGATGACACATCTCTTCACAAAGGCCACAGAGGAATTCCAAGAATTGCTCCAGTACCATAAAGTGTACCATAACCAAAGGATATCTCAGATCCACTCTTAGTCAATGATAAGATCATCTTGTTTCCTCCAGCTTCAACAGAGGAAAACACACAGTGATACTGCTCTGTGACCCCCTGAGCCCACAGCAAAAGGTGGGCATGTTTTTTCAAGTGTCCAAACAGTAAATGCAACAGATTCACATTTGCTCGACAGCACACAGACCAAAACAAACATTTTCCAGGACAAGACGCCTCCTCTTCCTACACCTCACACATAATGAGATGAAGACAGTCAATGGACAAACAGACTGATGGGTACATGTGTGTAGTGTCTCTCTTGCTCTCACACACATACGCATTAACACTCACACAGGCTGGCAGCACCCCCAGACACACACCCCCATCCTAGCCACCCTAGCAGACAGCATGAATTGAAGTTCTAATCAAAATAAAGACAAAGAAGGCACGCCTACTCCTGAGTGCAAAAAGGGACATAAATGAGGGACACCCCTACCACATCTCTCTCTCACACACACACACAAAGAGTAAGAAAGACGACACAATTGCCGCCTTTCTCCCAGTCAGGCAACCCCTAAAGCAGAGGTGAAAGCTCCTTGCCTGCCTGCTGTAGCAGAATAAAGCCATGGATGGGAGGGTCTGTGACTAATTCTCCTCTCAGTGTTGTCCCGTTGGGAGAAGGGGGGTCGCCCCGCACCCTTTGATACCCCTGCATGCGCTCTTTCAGCCGCCCGCACTTTGTTAGAGCTAGAATAAAAGCAGACACAAAGCTTCCTGCTCCAATCCACACGCTGTCTCAGGGATGGGTAAGGGGGTGGGGTGGGGGGTGTTCTATATAAATAGGCCAAACACCTGCTGGACTGAAGCCCCTTCCGCTCAAACACACCATTTCTCTCACACCAGTAAGGCAAAGAGGCATTTGGGTTGATAATCTATTCAGCTGGACTTTTGTATGAATGATTAAACATTGGCAATAATATGTAAGTAGAATGCAGGAGAAGACAAGATTTAATCGACCAAGAACAGAAAGGAAAAATAAGATAAGGTGGACAGAGAGGTTGGTTTTGAGGTTGTTGGGGAGGGGGTGATAAGGTCACACATTTACAACAACAAAAACTGTCAATATAGGCTGCACCCAGCGCCAAAACAAGCAACAGCAATTTGGCTGGATCAAGAAACTGAATCCCCTACACACATACAAAAGCTAACAAATGCCTTCATTTGGACAGCAGCAGCCAACAAGCACCCTTTTGAGCCACCCCAATAGGCTTAGTAATCCATTCCAAAGTGGCAGCTGTCAGAATAAAAGTTGCTCTGCCTCTCAGACAGGGATGTGTGTCTGAAGAGGATTTGGGGTTTTCTGCCTGGATAGAGGAAAGAGGGGTGGCCAAGTGTCCGGCTGGCGCTCTGTTCAGGGTCGCCCTGTGAGCTCAGCAGGCTGCAGTGAGCCTGAACAATCCTGTCCCGGTCAGGCCAGACAGACAATGAACTGCTTCTCATCACCATGCTGTGTCCACGACTTTGACAGGCTTCAGGTTCCATGGGGATTTAATGGTCCAGTCTGTCTCCACACATCCTAAATACTGCTATCCACTCATTCATTGGAGTAAGGGAGGAAGGGACATGTTGATACTTGAGACACCACTTGTCTCTTGAAACTTCACATAAAATTACTCTCTCTCCAAAATATCATAAAGCTGTGATGTAAAGCACGAATATAGGTAAAAATCAAGGAAATCCCTATGTTGTGTCCACAATCTTAATATGATTCAAGTTGCATTTGGAGTTTATTGTCTGGTTTGCCTCCTCACATCCCAAATAGTGTTACAGTCTCACTGATTATCAGTCTTTCAGAGGAGGGATAGGAGGCACCTGAAAAGCTTAAAAAGTCACCTGAACCCAAAACTGACATTTCAAGCAAAAACTGTATTTCTCCAAAACATCATAAACTATTTATTGGAAGTACAAACCTAACTAAAAATCTATGAAATCACCATGCTTTGTCTGAAATTTCTATATAATTTATTCCATGGGGATTTAATAATCCAAAATGTCTCCACACATCTAAAATACTGCTATATTTTATTCTTAGTGCTTAGGAGTAAAGGGTTGGAGGGACTCAGTTACCTAAAGGCTCCCTACCTAGTTTCTTTTCAGCAGCTATGGCGTCTAGCCAGGCTCAAAATAAAGGTACATCTTAAACCACTCCTTTCTGCTCTTTGGCCCTCCTGTCCTGTTTCCTAAAGCTATGATGTAAACTACAGATGCCTGGCTGTGACAAACTGGACAGTCCAAAGCTAGCATTAGCCGAACAACAAGTAAATGTGACTAAACAGTGTAGCACTCTGGTTACTGCTAATGTGACACAAAGCACTAATGGTACATTAAGCTGGAATAACTCCCCAAATTAAATCATATTAATTCAATACAATAGTAAAATCAGGACCATGCAAATGATACCAAAAGAAACACATTACTTTAAAATGCTAACATCCATAAGGAAGAACACCACACCTGAATCAAATCTGAGTTATTTGGCTCCTTTTAATGCTCTCCATCTCAAAAAGCCAAACTGATGTTACCCTGGGTTTTTACTCTTTCTTTGTCCCACTCTCTGTGCAAAAGAACATGACCTCTTCTGTCTGGGAGGCACTGTTTCAGACTTTTAGCTGCAGAGAGCTCCTCCACGCCTGGCTATTTGAAATGACTACTTGCAGTTCAAAAAAACTCTTATAACCTTTGCTAGGTGGCAGACGAGGTTAATTTACAAATTATACTTTGACAATATAAGGTAAAGAAGTTCAAGGCAGGAGACTGTCATGGAGGGGGACAGTATATTAGAAAGACACTACATCCTGTCTCATTTTCACTTGATTTATCATGTGTAAAATCTTAGTTAATGTACCTTTAAGAAGGGATCTCCACATTAAGCTGTCAAGAATATTATGACATTAATATCTTTTTCTTTAAATCAGGAAATACTTCCAATATGCTACTATGCCTGACTGCTACAGGATATAAGGTATTACAATCTCCAAAGCACCATTCAAATGTATGTAAAAGTCCAAGCATATTTCAAGTCCAGGAAAAAACTGCAAAAATGTCTAATTAGTATGTAGGCAAATACTGCTTTAATTCAACCAAGTAAGTGTTCTGTCTGTGCTCAGACTCGGAGCAGTGGAGCTGGTGGTAAACATCCCCACACAGTGTACTCCCACTGCAATGAACGCATGCTGCTCATCATGAAGAAGGAAGATGGTAGTTCGCTAAGGCGAACACACCCCCACATCACACGGTCCGTCAAGAACGGGGTCCTTGTTATTGTAGGCAGCCCTGCATGCGCACTATCACTAGCAAGTCTCGTTTCTCTGATAAATCGAAGCGAATTCACACACCACCTCCTATCGATGCTATCTTATTAGCACTTCAACACTGAAGAACATTTTGATATGTGACTGTGTATCAGACGTCCTCTCCAAGCGTAATAAACACGATATTATTTTGGTACTAGCTACGCTGTGGCTATGTAGAGAAGGGGAAAACATGTCCACCTCCCATTTTCCTATGCATCAGCAATAGCCCCGATGGCTAGCGTGGCGTAGTGCGTAGCATGGTAGCTGTCCTAGCACAGCAATGGAAATTATTTAGTTTTGTGTATAAGCTCCGCCAACTCTAGCTACGATGCTTTAACCCGCTGCGTAGCAATATGCTGTGCGCAGGTAAATTCAGTAAGCTCCCGAGCGAAGCTGCAACTTTAACGTCGCTTACGACTGAAGGATAATGGTGTACTTTAGCTGTGATGTAGACAGCTAGCCCGCGAGCTAACCAATCAACTATGTTAGCCAAGCCTCGCTGAAAGGTTGACACCTCACTGCGAGCAGCCAGCCTCTGACCTCATGTTGTCAGTACTAAGATATTTAGCAGGCAAAGACTGTCTAAAGAAAACCCGAAAGCAAGTAAAGTGAATAATGATCCACCGCTTATCGGAGACGTTGCAGATAGACCCTAAGTTTATGTTAATGTTGGCTGTTACAAACCACAACTGTGCACTCTCGGCTCCTTCAAGTTGACATGTCTTGTTTTCAAACATAAAAGCTACCATGAAGCTCCCATGCTATTGCACCACAAGGAAACGTCGCTATGATAAACACAGATGCTTAAATATAATTTTACTGTACGGAATGAATATTAAAGGTAATACGGGACGACAACTTTAACGGTGCGTTGATTTAATGTTACATGAATTTGAAAGCGACATGTCCAGCCTTAAGGTTTCACATCAAGCTAATGTCAAGCCGCTAACCAATAAACCAGTTGTAACGGCATAGGTACGCAGTCTATGTTAGTCCCTAAATTACCTATATATTTGCTATGGGTTAACAATACTGTGTGTTGTGGTTAACAACACCAGTGTTTTGGTGGTGCTAGCAAACTAATGTTAGCAGCAGAAGAAAACTTTCTTTCCAGTGGAGATAGTAATGAAGTCATATCGCTTATGACCATTTAGTGTTTGTGTTGTTTCATATCTAAAGCTAACGTTATAACACGTTACTGCAGAGTTTAAGGCCACAGAACCAACTCAAAGTTAACTGAGCATCCTGACAATGACAAGTTTGCTCACAGCCACACTTATCGTTAGGAAGAGGAGAATATGGTCAGCGTTGGAGCAGAGAGGAACCAACCGTTAGCTGTTCATCCGAAATGTACCGAAGGGCTCTCAAAGTGAACCAAGCCCTCCAGCTGTCCAAATGATGCTCCCGGCATACAATTAGGCTGCTCCCGTCCTGTCTTGTGCTTACCTCCCCGCTGCTCGAGTCGCTCGATTCCCCCAAAACATCCCGAAATTTCTGCAGGTTGCTTCCAATAACCGAAGAGACCTGTAATGCAGCATCAAAACCGGGTCCGAGTCCAGCTGCGTTGGGGTGGGCTCCCAAGATACTCCGCAGAGAGGCAGTAACCCTGATTCGGCCCGCTCTCCTCCCGGTACCGGAGTTGCTGCTCCCTCCGGGCCGAGCAGGGAACCGCCACCGACAGCTGTGCGCCATTTTACACTCTGCCTGTCTGCCCTGCGATCAGAGATACCTCGGTGGGCGGAACCCTAACCCAGCACTCCACATAAACAACCTCTCTCAACGCTCAGCTCTCACTGGCCGACATATCGTCATACATGTTGCGGGGCTGAACTAAAGAAACCCCGACAATGCATTTTCTCAGCAGCCCTATTCAGACTCTGCATGGTTGAATCCAAGTCAGGTTCAGGGGCTTTGCCCGGGAAAGGAGCGTCGCAGTTGAATCACAAGGAAAGACCAACCCGTTAGCTTTCGGTTCAGCTTCTTATAACAAGGTTGGCGAGGATCTTTATTCTCTGCAGCCAGTTCCAAGATAACACAAGCCAAACTACGACTGAGAAAACGAGGAAGAATATTGCAAGAATTACACGTAGCTTTGTATTAAAGCAGGGGCGTAGCAATTAATTCTGTACCCCACTCCCAGCAACATTACTGGTACTAACCGCTTGTTACAAGGCATACTGTTTCTAAAATGCATGAAGTGTTTTCAAAGCAGCTTTAAAAGGAATAGCAGAACCTTCAAGATAACTAAATAATATCTGCCACTTAAAGAAAAACAATACATTAGAAAAAGAATACATTTATATTTAATAATAAATTTGTATTGAGACTTGTATAGTCTCTTTTTCCATTTATCTTTTTCATCACTATTACAGTATGTACCGTTCTAATAGAGTACAGTGAAATCTTTATTTCTGAAAGAGAATATAACAGTCCAAAATGTTAGATCAAGTTACAAGTTATAATCTGCAGAATGGTAATTATATTATAGTGTATTATTATATACACTGAGACAAAAAGATTAAAAACAAGTTTTTGCTCTTTAATAATTGTTTTATTAATCACTGTAAAAAACAACATATTAGCAGCTTATGTAAGTAAACTGTGAAAATATTGATTTTTAATGTTACTGAAAGTAACCTAAGTGCACACAGGCAGAGTATATCTAGCATGTTCAGCTTTTCTGATGAGATTTGAGTTTAGAAATATTTACCTGAGGGGCCATTCACCTCATTTAGAGATGTACTGGATAGATCAGCAAATGTTAAGAAAACCAGCATGCTGCCTCTCTGAAGGCATGGATATAAAATGAAGCATGAATCTGCAGCTGGGACTATTTTTTCATTTCAGATTTATTCAGTCTGATTTAGGTGGATTGGAGAAATTTGATAACATTTCTAGAGCAGCCCCCTTGTTTTTCCAGTTTGAAAATTACAAGTAAAATATCAGCAATAGTCCAGTGAGTGGTGTTCAGCATTAATTCATGGTGGTGTCCAAGTCATCTAGGATCATATTAGAACCTACTGTGCTAAAATACATGAAGGCTCATAGCTAATGTTTTGTCTTTTTTCTTTGATGTCATTTGGTTTCATGATTACGTGTTCGACTAAAGACCCAACACTTTGCACCATTCGCATTATTTATATTAACACACCATGTTCTAATGTTCACAATGAGCCATTTTGACCACTATTATTAAAAAAAATCTGTTTTGGATTTTACTTATTCGCCCTACTAGGAAGCAATAAGGCCACAAACAAAATTTCAACTGGAATTTCATAATGCCACTGAGTTTCATAATTTAAAAAAAGTAACAAGGAAAATGGTTTTACAATTAACACTGTAATGTTTTCTGAGATGTTCATAGAGCCACCCACAATTAGTAACAGCTGTGAGCTGCTTCTTTATTTCCAACTGCACTGCCATAAGGACATGACCACCCACCAGTCAAGCAATTTTAGTAGGTATTGTGGTATTCTTAGGTAGGATTAATTTGTGTGTGTACTACATCCTAAAATGTGGTTCAAATTAGAGTGATTACTGTAATATAACTTTAATTATATTAATTAGTAAGGTCTTAGATCCTAACAATGTCTTTAATTAGTGCTTCATTAAAGGCAGGTGCACTTGAAGATCTGAAAGCCCTTATCTCAGTTAAAACATAGACAACCGTAAAACAAATAAACAGTATGGTTTTACAAATATCTTAGTACAGTTAACAAGCTTTTGAACATCTTACTTTCAATAAAAGTCACACAATTCAACTCGGTGTTACTTACATCTTACTTTTAATTGTTAAGTTTATTTACAGTGTTGCTTGAGATTTAACCAAAAATGCTAAAATATAGGATTTTCAAGAATGCAGTAGGCAGTGTATGATGTACTCTTCATGAAGGTGAAATCAAGGTCAAATCATGACTCCATCCCTGTTCTGTCTCACGACTTCCCAGAAATGCTTACTCTTGCATTATAAAATCATGTTTTGTTCAGCTGGCCAATCATGAGTTCATACAGTCCATTCAACAAGTCCTGTTGAGAGTCTCACCTCTGGCCACAGTTCCAATTGCAATATGACTGATTAATACACAGCATTCAGGGAGAAAGGACCAGTGGTTGTATTACCTCCACAAGACACTGTGGGAATCAAACAGCTACTTTGTACGGTCACTGAAGTTGCCACCAGCTGATGAGCAACAGTTTGCCTGGACTGCTGTCACAGAGAGAACCCACAGAGCATGAAGGCTGCATGAAAAGTCTAATGCAATGTTAATCAGACCAGAGGAGTCAGAAGAAATCCAGATGCAAGCACACCATGGATTAGCCAAAAAGCAGAGGGCACACGAGATGTGGGGCAGGAAAGAAAACAAGGATGCAGTTATTGTTTGTCACAGTGAGAGATCAAGGCTAGCCACTGGGTCCCAGTTGCAGCCTCTCCTGCTTATGCTTGTCCAGCCACCGTAAGATCTGCTGTTTGAGTTCCTCATTTGGCCTGATCTGGTCCATGGTTAGAGGGCTGCGGTTGAAAGGGTCTGTCTGGTCACTGTAAGAAAGGCACGATTAATACATGATTACTCATATGACAACTGCACACCAACTTTATATCTACACAGCTGCTCCTTGTCAGAACAAAGACACAGATAATGAATTTCCTGAAAGACAATTTATGACTACTCTAAATTTGTATCGACAATGATGATGACCACTGGATATTATGCTACCTTGAGTGAACTTCGGCGCTTTGCAGGAAGTAACTAACCTAAGGAGATGCCTTGCTATAGTTGAGCGGTCTACTGTTACATTGGAAGAGGGTAGAAGAACAGGATCCAGCATCAGAGTAGACATGATGGGGTCCAAGAATTCATCTGGAGCATCAGAATATGTCTCCTCTTCCTGTTGTTGTCTGTCTGCATGAGACTAAAACACAGACACGGTAGCAACAATGTAACTCGTTTTGTTTTTCCTAAAAAAACTTGACTTGTTATGACATATATTTCTTTTTATACCTTTATTTTATCAGCAAGGAGTCCAAAAGCAACAATCATGTCCCCAGGTTTATTGATCTTCTTTAGTACCCTAACTGTCTGGGAGAAGAGCATGGGAGAATACGATCGTCCATCTTTTGGGACTGTAGCGCAGAAATCCTCCTCGTCGCTGCCAAAGACAGAATTTTTGGTTTTTTTACTTGGAAATGACAAAACCATGTAGTTAGCAATGTGCCACTGTGTTTCTCTTCCACCAAGAGAAATGGCACAAATGAGTTTGATAAATAAAGACTACAAGGAAATAAATGTCAACACAGTCTGCTAAATTATTTTATTTAACTGATTTCCTTTCTTTTGTTCATAAATCTGCCATTCATTCAACTTGTAAAAGAGTAGTGTGACAACATACCCCAGGTTCAGGTAGATGGTGCAGATGTCAGAAACAAGCTGCTGGGGCTTGAAATCAAACTCACTGAAGTCCTTTACTTTCAGGGCGCCCATCTTAGGACCCACAAGGTGCTGCAGGAAGTAGTTCAGCATGGAGATGATCCTCTCAGCCAGGAAGGGGTGCACAAAAATGCCTTTGATTTCTGAAGAGGGAAACAGAAAGAGAAAAGAAAGAAAACATTGTAATGATGATAACAACTCATCGATACACAGGACTACATGCAACAGTCTTTTCTGCCTGACCCGAGGTGAGGAAGGCCAGTGTGCCAATGGTTTCATTGGACATGATGTTGTGGAAACGTCCCAGCTGTCCAAACATCTGCAGGTTCGACTCCTTCTCTCTTCGGGCATCAGGGGCCAGGCCTTCCCACTCTCCCCGATCCCGCTCCAGCTGCAGAACCTTGATTTTGCTCAGGTACTGTGAGAAAAGGTGATAAACAAATGTTATCTTATTCTGCATCTGAAAAAGTGACAGAGACCAACAAACAAAATGTCAAATCTGTGCAAGACTTTTTGTGTGCAGTGTTTTGGGGTTTCTGTTAATGTAAATCTAGCATTTACCACCAAGTAAATACTTAGGAAACACCACAACAATTTGAATGAACACCAGACAAATAGATGTGGGAACCTAATTTGCATGCAGTGAAGACTGAACTCAAAATGTCATGGCCTCACCTGAATAGCCTCATCCAATAGGAAGATGGCATCATTCATCAGTAGGTTAAGGAACCTGAGGAACAAAGGGGGGTTCATGGCCTCCAGGTTCTGGGATGCATAATCTGCCAGATGCTGAAACAAAAGGCATCACATAAAATGATTGGGCTCAGTCTGATGAATATCTCAATATATAATCACAAACTATGTCTACTTATTCCATCCCAGCCACATTCATTCAAGGGGTTAAAGCAGCATTCAAGTACAGTACATACAATGAAATAAAAGAAATTCCGGTCAGTTTAGTAGCTCATCACAGACGGTACACATTTTCACCTCTCTATTCCTCGGCCTGTCCTTTACTACCCACTCATACCTGCAAACAATCTGGATAAGATGTGATGAGAGTGGAAGTTTATTTTCTGCCCTGTCACCAAAAGTCAGTCATCTATTGAAGATGTTGCCTCATCATAATTCACTTCATAGCCAATAAAGATTCTTATATACCGCCACCACAAAATAATAAAGCCATATTTATATGATTTTCTCTTTACCTTGATACTCTCTCTATAGTTTTCTTTGCTCCACATGTACTTGAGGATGGGATACATGGGTCTCCTGTAGTTGAATTTCTGTTCAAACTGATGAGGATCACCTGAAAAAAAAGAGGAATGAAATCAAACAGGTTTCATTGCTACTCTCGATTTTTTTCCACTTCATCCAGCTTCAGGCCTTATCTCGGTCTGCAGTTCATGAACAGGTGTACACAAACAATCCAAACACTCAACAGATTCAGCTGGCTGGAAAAAGACCTAAAATATTCCCAAGAAGCAGTTTTCTTTTAATTTTCATTGAGAATGTTAAATGGTTTTAAATCAAAGACAGCCTTTATCTTTTTCAAGTGTGTGTATACTTGGTGACAAAACTTGTTAAGCAAGTTGTGGATATAAATGTGTTTTTGTTCAATCTCTACAGTATTTTCTGCCAAGTTCATTTCTGTTTCCACCTTCAACTGGCACAAGCAAGTCAAAACCTTTGAGGAATACACCAGCTTCACCTGTGAATTCAATGTCTACAAACACAATGATGATGGCCTCGGCCAGCTGAGGCGCATGTTTGTAGGAGCAGAAGACCATCTCTCGTTGGAACACGATCGGCTGAGGAGCACCAGGAGCCAGTGGCTCCATGTGGGGCATCACCGCCTCTAAGACCTCTGCCAGCTTTGCTCTTAAATGTGGGTTCTTCATCCTGTTGGAGATACAGTATAGCAAGGGTTGAAGCATTTAAGTGAAATGTTATCAGGGCATGCACCATGTAAGCCCTCACAACTCTTTCAGTTCATCATAAAACTCACTAAAACCACTGACATTTTATTTCATTACTGAGTAACATACCTCTCTACATTACCCATGAAGATGGTGATAAAGTTAAGAATCTGCTCCAGACTTTCCGCACAAGTCTCCAAAACACTGTCCGCAAATCTCCGCAGAAAGATGAAAAAATCCCCCAAATTCTCTACAAAAAACTCTGACAATGACAGAAAAGTCACACTTTACTCATCACGTGTTGAGGAATGCTCAGCATTTGTGAATGAATGTACTATGAATGACTAACCACTGCTGCCTTGCTTGCACAACTGCATTAACTTCAAAACATTCTGAAGTATTGGGTGTATGTAACTCACAGTTAGAGACTGAAAGAAGGGCCCGGTCATTTTCTATATTAATAAATAGTCCTTTCAATGCTCCCCACAAAGAAACTAAAACCAACTATTCATGGTTAATGTCCGTCAGTCTCCAACCTGGATCAGCTACTTCGTCTCTGCCATACACCTCTGTTGTTGTTTGGAAATGATTAAAAATACATCAGTGAAACACACTAGGAAACACCAGGCTCACATATGTCTATTTGAAGCTTTTGGGAAAACTTTTTAACAAAAACATGTAGGTCTGATATTTCGTAATGAAAAAAGTTGTCATTGAGTGCAGCAGTGTGTTTCACTGTGTTTTTATTTATAATTATGTACTTTTTTTAACAAGAGAGGTTTACGGCACAGATGAATAAGATAATCCAGGTTGCTGAATTTTGACAATAAATGAACAATTAAACTGGTCTGAAACACTTTGCCGGCAGATGAAAAATGCAATTAATTTAAAATTGTTTCGTTAAATGTTTGAGTTATCAGGCAGCATTTGTTAAAACACAACATTTCACATGTTAAAAAGCCTAAAAATTTAAAATTAAGAATGAACATAGCCCAATTGAAGCCTGAGAAAATTAAAGAGAGCTCAAACTGCCTTCATGTCAGTGTAGTGTAGTGGTAACCTACCTGGAACATAGCAGAGCATAGAATTCTGTAGGGAGGGCAGGGGAAAACTGAGTGCTACATGTTCAGGCCCCTGATTTCCCATACTAAGCTGAACCAGCAGAGCAGCAGTGGAAGCCTGGAGGTTAAGGCAGCATTGCAGCATGGCGGGCTGCGTAGTGGCAGCTTTGGTTGATAGATAAACAATCATCAGACGCTCAAATTGCTCCAAGAGCTGCTCTGACATTGGGCTGCCTGTTCGCTGAGCCTCCTGCCACGTCACCTGGAGCCGGTGGAGAGACTGGTTCATCTTCACCATCTGCTCATGAAGTCTGCACATGGACAGGTGCATAGATACAAAGAGAACAAGACAACACAGGTTAATGCTGACACATGGTGCAAACACGAAGAAAACAGAGTACACCATGTCACTGAAAGACCTCTTACACTGTGAGAGCCTTAGTTCAGGTAAGTGTTGATGTATGTTTCTTTTGGAAAGCTGTTGGTACTGGTTTGAAGATGTGTACCTGTGGAAGCCGAGATGCAAGGTGAGCTGTGTAAGGATAAGGTTTTCAGTTAGCAGGCTGTAAGACTGTGCGGACTCGACCAGCTGCTGAGGGGGTACGGGGATCAGACAGGTTTCCTTGTCAAGACCTGGAATAAGAGACAGGATCATTTAGTCAGGAATTTCAATGTTGGAAAATCCCCCAGTTTTTAAAAGAGGCTGCTATAAACCCACTTGTAAAAGCAAAACAAAAACCAGAGCTGCTGTATTAATAGTGACCTATCAAAATGATGGAATAATGTATTTAAAATGGGGATGATAACTGATATTCATTTTCACATGTATTAACCTCGTGCGTGCACATTGCGATTACGCCTCTCATCTTCGCTCAGCTCTTTGAGGGCACAGTAGGTGGGGTTGAAGGTGAGCAGTTTGGGCGAATGTGGTCGGCAGAAGGGCTGGCACAACTTCACCAGAGCTGCACCCAGGTTTAAGAAGAACGCATCTGAGGCATACATCTGGAAAAAGATCTCTGGCATTTGATTTGCCCAAATCTTGGCTCGACCAGCATTAGCCTGCAGACAGCTTCCCAGCCAAGACAGCAGCAGGTGGCGCGTCTCACCAGATTGCTGGAGCAGGTTTTTCAATATCTGGTGGAGCTTGTCGTGAAATTGGCCCATGAACTACAGCACAAAGGGTGTAAAGGTCATTAGTCCCAATACATACTGTAGTTTGAAAAATCAGTGAATGGATTTAAGGCAAAATTGACAACTAAAAAAGAATCCGTTTACCTGGTGGATGTTGGCTTCCTGGACTTTTGTCTCCTGAGCACTGGAGCGGGAGGGGTTCAGGAAGTAGCCATGTCCTTCCACCACACCTGGGGTTTTTAACAGGCAGGAGATACTCAGTACTACCCCTAGGAGGCTCTTCTGGTACTGCAAACCATTAGCTGGGTCTTTGGGCTGAATGTGTTCCACTAATACCTAGGAAAGAAAAAAGAATTGTTACATGGATTTGAAAAATCTGAGCTCTGAGATAGCAATTATGATTATGAGATCACGCTACATTATTGAATAGATAGACAAATAAATACACAAATATAAATAGTATAAAATAATAATATAAAAGAAAATTAATAGTGAGTCTGAAAGTGATCTGTTGCATCATTTGCAAATGCAATGGCTCTGTGTGTCTCCTGACCTTGGCAATATCTTTATGGTGGCTGAAATAAAGGAGAACATCTAGATAGGAGTAGAGGAGGGGTTGGCACAGGTCCAAGTCCTTGACGCGTCCCTGGAAGATATCGAACACTGGCACTATCACCTCCTCGAAGGTACGCACCTCCTGGTCGGACAGCAGGCCAGTGATGACCTCCTCCACAAACTCAACCACCTCCTCTGGCTCTGACACAAAGAAAAGTAGAGAAAACTAGAGGGAATACTTTGCTGAAAACAGGTGAAGACAAAAGTAAAAGAAACAGACACAGGCCCAATCCTGAACCTACGCGCTCCGCTGAAAGCTTCCAGCAGCAGGTCCAGAAGCTGTTCGTAGACATTCTGGCTGATGTAGATCTCTGGGGTGAGCAGAACTGTCCGTGTGTTAGAAACTGTCAGGTTCTTACAGCGAACAGCAAACGACAGTAACTTCTCTGGTACCTTTGTCACCTGGTGCCCAGATAATCAAGAAACTGTTTTATGAATTATGCTCCAATTACCAAGAGTAGTCTATTAACAGCTGGCAATTCCTAAAAAATAGTTCCATTAAGGTTCTACAGTTACAGTCATGCAAGAAAACCTTGCACCTCTTCTTTGGCCCTCTGGTAACAAGCAAAAAGGTACGGGATGGCACATTTCTCCCCAGCATCACGGTCGGCAGACAGGTTAACAGCGCTGCATGACGTCATGTAGATCAGGTGGTTACCTGGCTCTTGGAGCAGCAGTCGGTTAAACAGAGCCTGGTGGACAGAGGCAATCGTCACACACACCAGTCAGTCCATGTAACGCTTTTTCCACAATTGCCTACTCAATGGTTCCCAAAACATCTGTATCTGTTTCTTCCATAATGCGTTTTCTTACATCTAACAGATTCTGAACTTCTTTGTGCCTGAAGGGTGCTTATGGCATTCCTTAAAGGCTGCCATTTTTTCACAAGCTGTATCAGACAATAAGCTGCTTACTGAGACAAGGGAAACAAGACACTGCAACAAAGCAGTGGTGACACAAAAACACATTGTTGACGTTTAACCTGCTCTATGTTGTCCATGTCCAGCCAGTCCTGTCCATCCAGATCTGCAGCCAACTCTTCCAGGTACACACAGCGAGGAGGGATCCCATTACCTCCTCTCAGGCTGGGGTCACCTTGGGGTGAAAGTAAAATAAAGTCTGATCAAACCATATTACACATGACAACCCACACAGTTTAAAGCAAACCAAGCATGAATATTGCATTAATTACAAACAGCCCAACCTTAGAATAAATAAGACGTGGAGTTTAAATGGTTTGCATGTGTTTACTCCGGTTTATTTGACACTGAGGTGGCAGAGGAATTTATTAAAGTGCTCTGTGTTAAAACAGGGGGGCTTCTAGCCTGCATTTTCCTGAACATCATGACTCATCTTCAGTCCGTCCGTCTCAGTGGTGGAGAGACTCAGCCGGGAGCAAGACTTCACAGTGTGCAAGGTCTTTGCATTGTTAAAAGGGTGATGAGTCATTTGTTACTTACTGGAAACTTCAAATTTTCCACCACCGTCACCAAGAACAAGAAACTGTGCTATTTACAACCAATACATTTTACTTTACATCATCAGGCATCTGTTTATCTAATGTCCCTTTCAGATAGAAGCAAGAAGCTCAGGGTGAACTGTTTGCTAGCCATATAAAAGAGTCAGTATGGATTATCTGATTTGACTTTGACTGCCTTTCACACTTAGGCTTTTACAGAGGACTCACAATGGTAAGCATGAACACATAGTACTGCATTAAATAAAGTTATTATAGGCTTGTTTACTATAACATCTATAGCTACAACTAGATGTTTCAAAACCTATGTTAACTATTGTCGATTATCTGGACAGTCATTTATGTGGAATTTCCCTTATATACAAAAAAAAAAACAACAAGATTTTAGTGACAAAACATCAGTACACAGTGATAAGTATGGGACTACAGTTGCTGAAATTGGTTGTGTGTACTCCCAGGTAGTTTAACTGTGCAAGGCTCCAGACTGACTTTTCCCATTGGTGCTCCATACCAAGCATTTTAGAAGCTCCAGTGCAAAATTTTAGCACATCACATAAACACACAACACATTCATATTGTTTTCCATCTTAATTATATTACTGATAAATGTTTTAGTAGCAAATAGACAATTCACAGAAATAAAAATGGTTTGTTTTATTTTAGGATAGAGATACACCAAGCCTAAAGAAAGAACGAGCAGCAACGAAGACTGACTGCTGTGTCGCCTCACCTCGGCTTTGTCTGGACCGCTCAAGTTGAAACAATGTTACTTGAATACACCGCACAGATTACAGCCAACGGCCGACTAGCATGTGCATTCTGTACCTGCGTGACAGAAATAACTCCCCCTACCAGCAGTTGGTGGAATCTGTATTTGTCATTCAGACAGGAAAAAAAGAAGAGCTAGACTGCGGAAGCATAAGCTATAAACAAAACGCCTCTTGTTCAAAACAGCTGATGTTTATAGCTGCTTCTAATCAAGAATATGTTTGATAAGAAGTTACAAATGGCACTGCCATTCTCTGCTCTTGGTCTTTTGGTTGTGGAGGTGAAAAACAAGGAGAAACCACACTAAATGGGTGAAACCATGGATACTACAGCGACAGGCTGAAGGAACTTTCCCAACCTGTTCTCTTCTCGTGCACTGATTTGCTAAGCTCAGCAGCCAATCAGAGTGCTCTCTCTCTCACCGAAATCAGCCAAGAAGACCCAGATAGGGACCAACTAGTGCCAACTGTGCAGGACACACCGGGAGGATGAGCCCCAACAGTGGCCGACAGCCGACCGTTGGCTTGGTGTGTCTCTGCCCTGAAAGATAAAAGTCACAAAGTGAAGCACTGCTTAATGGCCTCTCTCCTCTCTAACCCCCTTCTCTGTTCCCAGATGATGAAAGGCATCATAAATTCCTTCAATTATTTGTTAGTTATAATTGTCGTGCCCAATTAAATATTACTAAATTAAATTATATTTTCTGCTTCTTTATACTTCTACTCCACTGCATCTCAGAAGCAAATATTGTACTTTTTGCTCCACTAGAACTATTGCAAGTAACTTTGTTGCTTTGCTGATTCATATTAATATAAAGATCACCTAATAAATTATGGTGTATTATTACAAAGCTACCCAACAGTATATACACTAGGGGGTATGAATAACCTTTTCTTCTTAAAAAATAATCAAACCAAAGGGCTAAGTGAGAGCGGGAGCAGCCTACTTGTGAACTGGACACAGGCAGATTACATCCTCCGCATAATCTTCCCCGACCTGTGTTGCCATGTGACAGCCACACACATACTCACACACCAATTCTTGCTTCCTCCTGGTATTTCACAATATATGATTAAAAATAAACAAATGAGGGGCATATTTGCAAGTCGCATTGGTGTACCTAGTACCTACCTACTAATTTAGTTGCACAGTTGCTAAAAAATAGTCACAAAATGTGACTGCAGTCTGGAGCCCTGCTGTGGGTCAAATGCAGGTAGAATGTAGTACTGGGCTACAAGGAGTATGTGGATATAAATACACACACACTCCCATGTGGGCAACTTTATAGACCGGAAACAAGCAAAACTGATGTGGGTCAAAGCAAAACATGTGAATGCAAAGGTCCATATTCATTCTTCTCCTTTTACTCACTGTTGTCCAGTGTGATAAGAAATATTCGCTGGATCATGTGATTGACATTGAGCTGTTCACACAGCTCCTGCCTGGACCGGAAGGAGCGGCTGATCTCTGCCACTGAGTCGTCATTGTCATCGACGCTATCTGACACTGAGTTTTCTGACTCTGACTGGCTCCCTCCTGAGTCCTCCCCTGTGGCACCAGATACAAACAGTAAGTAGGAAACCCATGTGGAGACATTTAAGCCAGATGCTAGTATGACATATACAAAGAACACATAAAAGATGCTTGTTAACACTCAAATTATGTCATATATGTGTTTATGTATGGGGATTTGGTAAGAGGATCTGCTAACTCTGCTTACGTGGTGGCTCATCAGGCTTCTGTTGTGGTTTCTGGTGCGATGCAAACTGCTTGGCATCAGCCACTGAGCTGAAGAGGGCAGCGAAGGGGTTGCAGGAGATGTTCTGATTGTTGTTGCCCTGGTCAGTCATCTCACTGGGCCTCAACACTCACTCCATCTAAGATTCCAGCTTGAAACAGCAATATGACCACAACAAGTAAGTGTTGATGGAACAAGAGTTGCAACAACAGCAAAATTAAAAAAAAGATTAGAGACCACATGCAATCCAGAATGAAACCATTCTTATGTCCACCACTTCCTATTGCTATCATAATCACCTTATTCCTATAATAAAATGAAAAGCATCCTAGTCTCAGTTAACAGTAGCAACAGCATGGTAGTATTTTAGCATTACTTTATTGAGTGGAATGTATGGTTCTTAATCATCACACAGCCTACAGTTGTTCCTTTTATACATCATTCCCTTCCTTTGTCTTTGGAGAAATTGTTTGAAGTCAACAACATATTTTTAAAAAGTGTTTAAGGGTCATTTGGGCATCTTTCCCTTTTATTTTGAAATTTAGATGCAGTTGGCATCCTTCATATGACACTACTGCCTCCTTCTGGATTTAACCTCCTCATTGTCTAGTTCCTACAGCCATGTAATCAGCCCACTTGTCCTCAAAAACTTAAACAGAGCTGTTTTCTCTATATGGTCTCCTGGTATAAGAACAAACTCTGCTGTTTCTATCTATGTGACACTGATCACAATAAACCACTGAAAGTTTTTCAAAAATGATTGAATTACTCTTTCCTATTTTTGCTGTGGTCATTATTACCTCCACTTTACTGTTTTTCATACAAACTCTGCTTTAGATTGAACATAAATGCCTTATTTTGTTAAGACTGCTTTCATTCTACATTTACTTTCCATGTTTGAAAGTTTAATGCAGATTTTGACAAATCCTTTGTTGACCTCTCATTTAGCCCGTTTGTCTAGTTTCTCGTTTCCAAAAACGCACGTACATGCAGGGATGCACATGAATGTGACTTCTTTGCATTGGATGGTTACTATTCTTAAATGAGTGAATGAGATTTCATATAGCAGACTGTAATGACAAGTCACTACATATAGCTGTATGCAAAGGTTTGCTAATGCTTTGGAGGTTTTTGGAGTTAAAAGAAGTAAAAACAACACATACAGCAAACACGTTAAAAAGTTTTCAAATGTTAATGCGCTGTTATCTTTTATTTTATGAACTCCATTAAATGAACGGTAATTGTGGCGTGTGCAAAAGTTTGGGCAACCCGCTAATGTCTGCTTCATGCAGGGATTGTAATTAACCTTGCTTAATGTTCGCTTTCAAAAGTCAGCTAACATTTTCAACCCATTCTTGCACCATCAAGATAACATGTACTGTAACAAAACATTTGCCAGGCTTCGTGCTGTGGCAGACCTTCTTGTTATCTGTTCCCCCAACACACGACGAGTATTTGATGAGGAAAAACCAGCCAAAAACATCTTGGCATTAATCAGAAAACAGGGAGTCGATGAAACAACGTCTCCTCTCACTGTTTCACACAGATTAGTGGACACATGACTCACTGTCCTTCAACGTTAAGCTGAACAGGTGAGCACGTTGTGCACTGTCAGTTCATTTCAACACATTCCTGTAATAATTTGTGTTGCCTTATGGAGCTAGCTTTCTAGCCATCATTGCGTAGTTTCAAAAGAAACAGGCAGGAACATCTTTAGCTGCTTGACGCTAGTTAGCCAACTAGCTGGCAGGGTTAGTTAGTAACGTTAGCCATAGTAGCTAGTTAGCCAGTTAGCGAGCTAAGCTGTCATGGAGTCATTTTAGCACTGATTTTGTAGACTTTTAACCCGATTTTAAAGTATTATCAGCCTATATAATGCACAGAAGCGACAAAGAATGTTGTCGTACCTGTTTGACGGGAAGAAATGTGTTTCTCCAAGTTTAAAAAAAAAAAAAAACCGCTTATACCCATCCAGTACCAGTTTGCCAGGAAACAAACTGTAAACGTCATCAAAATAAGACGGGGCGTCTTTACAGAAATTATTAACATAAAAATCAATTAGTAATAACATCTAGTGAACTTATGCAACTCTAAATGAGAATAATATATCTACCATTATCCACGATTAAACAAGCACTATACCTGCTATTAATCTTGGCAGAAATAGTTCACGATGATCAGCATATAGCCTTAAAAATAATAGATAAGATCATGGAACTTCATAGCATTAACCTTAGCTTCTTAGTGTGGCTGTGACCACGACTGAGTGTTACACATCTCTTTTCATTGTTACATATACCGCTGTTTACCTATCTATGGAGGAGATATTCAAACGAATTAATGCCGTTGCGATTCGTTGCGCTGTCCGCAGGAGTTGTGCGCGTTCACGAACTATCCTCTCCTTTTAGGAAGAGGCTCTCTGGTTTTATCATTCTGAAATAATTTGCCTATTTTAAGTTATGATAGGTGTAAAGCTCATCTAGAGGCACCCAATATTAAACATTAAATGGCTGGAAACGAGCATGACATGGCTACTTTAACACTATATACTGATAGTTTTCTCTTTAAATAAAAAAAAAAGAAAAAAATAATACTCTAAAGCCTGCAGTGTTCCCTGACCATCAGCAGAGGGCAGCGGCAAACTGCATTTGGAAAGTTTAGCCTATGCTTCAGCTGTTTCGATGTGCACCCTACAGAGAATGCGCTGAGGGTGAACTTTGCAAGGCAGATATTTCAGCAGTTGGTGAAATAAGTATTGCATCATGGCCAACCTATGCTACCATGCTGTATAATATTTATTTTAACTGTCAACACCACAAAATGTCTGAAAAGTCAACGTGTTATAGTTTCTAAAGGCTCTGTACATTGAGGGGTATCGCCGCTATCTGTACTAATTGTTCTGGACAATACAGATGCTTAATTTCTGCTTGTGGATTTATTTAATCTCAGTACAGAGCAGCTGCTCAGTTCAGTTTTTTTAACATCCTGATCACAATCAGTTAAATACACAAAAACCTTAACAGATTAGATGATTCTTCATGAATCATCCAGCAGTCAGTCCAGATGTGGCCAGATGTAACACCCCCATTTGGACTAATCAGGTTTGATATTGAACACTGAGTTACATAACATACTATATATATATACAGACACACCAAGTCATCATACAGAAAACATAAAAAATTATTAAAAAAAAAAAAACAGCTCTCTTACACAAAGACATACAGTGCATCATAAACAACTTTTTTGTTTTGTCCTTATAAAAGAGAATACTTGGATGACTTCTCACATCAGCCTTAGTAAATAAGGACAACATTCCTGACTGTACTTTTCTTTCCTTGAAGTTAAATAATTTGAACAAATGGTCTCTACTGATCTAGACCTACTATATCATGTATACTCAGACATTCACAATATTACAGAATAAGGCACAACATTTACAGTGTGGAGTAAACCTGTAATCCAGTGAAAATGCTAGCGTTTCAGGTTGCCACGGTTCAACTGACTTTCAATCAGTGCCTGTTTGACAAGTCTTTGTTGGTTGTGGCTCTGTTGTTCATCACTATGCCCAAAGTGTTTTAATGGCTTTGGGCTTTCCTCCTTCTCTTCCTTTTTTTTTTTGTCAAGAGGCAGCTGTAGCTTTCAGTGATCATTATTTGCCATACTGTGCCCCTTTACCTCGTCTTAACCAGTCTCTCCAGGGGGACTGGATTTTGTTCTGATTAGAGTCTGAACTCCAAGTGGAGGAGGAGGAGAGGTGGCGTGTCCGTGTGGAGGACGCCCTGCCCGGCCTGTGGAAGAATGATACACTGTTGGAAGCGGATCTGTTCTGAGGCTCCTCCGACTGCTGCTGGGACCTGAGCTGCTGGTTGATGATGATCTGGATGTCATCCTGAGGAAAGGTGGGGAGGAAGAGGAAATGAGCAGGATGTCTGAGTGTCTCATGTCAGCACTGTCCTTCACTCATTATACAGTAAATATTTGCATTATTTTCATCAAAGCACAAGAGATTAGACTCTTTGGCAGATGGTTCAGCTCAGCACATTGACTCAGCAGCAGCAGGACTCACCTGTGGTTCATAACCATCCAAACTGTTATTTTAAATCAGGGATATTTTGGAACTTAATAAATTCGATAAAACATTTCATAACATAGGGAAATGGCCAGAAATACTCAGACTAAGTGTGACAAAGTAACTGCATGAGAGATGCTTCAAAGGGCATTGAGGATACAGTTAACTAGATGTGATAGGTGGAAAAGCTCCACAGAAATAAAGGGACCCCACCTGCCAGGCCTCGAGTTCCTGTGACAGCTCCAGTTTACGCTGGATGGCTTCTAATAACTGGTTGTTCAGAGACATCATGTCATTTTTGCTTCTGACCAACTCAGCCTCCATCAGGTTTTTCCTAGCAACAAATGATGAAACCTCTTCAGCCACAGTCACATACAAGAAAGTTTCACATTCAGGATGTTCAACCTTCTCACAGGTTAAATAAGTGCATAAATATTATGGCTGCAAAAGTAGCTTTCAAAGGGAAGAATGAATTGCTTCTGTCTTTGTGTTTAGACATCTAGTACACGCATTAATTCAGAGTCAGGAACAGCTGTAAGAATCTCAATGTATTTGATTTTATAATTTGCACTGAGAATATTGAGGGGAAAAAAGCTTCTCACTTGGCTATGGCTTCATCTCGATCTCTGATGGCTTGTTGGATAACTTCAGCTTGTTCCTGTACATGCTGCAGCTTCTGCCTCAGCTCAGTGTTTTCTTCCTGCAGCTGGATGTTCTGGAGTAAGACAAGAGGTCTGTTTATATCGCTGAGAGAAACTAGTGTATTTTAAATAAACAAACTATTTAAAAGAGGTTGTTGTTGCACTAAAATTGTTTCTTCCAAGAACTCATAACAGTGTTAAATGTTCATTTTAAACTTAATTATCTGAATGTTTTGATTTCCATGTATGTTACAAAGAATCAGTTTGGGTTTAAAACTTTGTACTTTTCTTAATGTAATTAACAGTTTTTTTGGGTTAGAGTTTAACAGTGTTCTGAATGCGTAGGAGTGCAGAAATCAGAAAAATTCATTTAATTTCTGCCAATTAATATTGGTAGCAGACAATTTGAGGTGAAAAAGAATCAAACATGAGAATTAGTTTCCAGTAAAATCAAAGGTCACTGACTCTGTATATGAAACTAAGATGGATTACAGTGACAGTGCTGAGGGGGGATTTGTTGGGTTTTCCTCTATAATAACAGTTATAATAGTAAGGTCTTTACCTTGTAAAGTGTTCTGAGATTATGTCTGTTGTGATTTGGTGCTATACAAATAAAATTTGAATTTGAATTGAAGTCAGTTGGTCAGTACTAAAATACTGAGCCACCACAAGCGCTGCCCCTCCCTGACAGATGTGTTCATCCCTGGGTTACCTGATCTCTCAGTTCCTGTGCTGCACTTGGATTCCCACACTGATCACCCGTCCCACTGACAAAAGCCTGATTCAGGTCCTGAGAGAGAAACATTAAAGAGATCAGGTGTCAGTCACGCATTTCACATAACTTTACACCAAAAAGAGTCGCTCTAATTTTAGCCTATTTGCACGGTGTTCCAAGGGAGGAAGAGACCAAGCTTAATACTGAGTTATAAGCTCAGGACTCTAGAGGTTAATACTGAGTTACAGTGGTAATGGTCTGGATATAATACAAACGGCATACTGTAAGACACAACTGGACAGTATATGCTCACTCTTGGCAAACATTTGCATATATACTCTAAATCTGTATACTTTAATGATGTCATTAAAAAACTTAGAAGACATAAAAGCCAACATGTAATATTCCCAACCTCCTTTAATTTCAAACAGCAAGGTCAGTGTTTTATTTGCATTTCTGACGCACCTATTTTTCTGTGTGAATGTCACTCACCTTAGTGATGGATGTCTGTGCCAGAGTTTGGGCCACTCCCTTCAGCTGGTGGAGCATGGCCTGCAGGTCCTGCTGCTGACCTATGACCTCTGAGCTCCCAGAGCTGTTCACCTCCTGGGCCAGTGGGAGCAGTAACTGAAGGATGGACCCCATTTCTTGTGTTATCTAACAGAAGAGCAGACAGGTGTCAGCTTATAGTATGCAAGAGAAGTGAGTGCACCCCTGTGCAATATCACTTAAATGTCAAATGATTCAAAATTGTTTAACCTCTTAATATTAACTGCATTATTCCTAGGTTCTCAACTAGTATTACCTCTTATGAACAAATCAAAATCAAATACTTCATAAAGACAGCATAAAAAACAGGCCCCAAAGCAAAAACTCAATGCAATAAAAGTGGATACACCTGTAATCATAGACACACAAGAAAGAAAACCTGTACTCAGTCAAACAACACTGAGTAGACCTGTTTTTCCCCCCAATTAGTTTAATTGCATGTGCATAGCTATAAAAAATGACCTGCAAATAAAATGACACCAGAACCTTTTCAATTTTGGAAAGGAATTGTCAGAGTGAACTGAATAATCTGATTGTGATACTTCACAAAGATGGAAAAGGATGCAGGAAGATTGTGACCAACAAAAAATCTGTCAAAACATTCATTTTTTCATTCATTCATTTTCTACCACTTAACATTTGCAGCTATAATCAGGAGATAGAGAACCAGCCACAGTACCACTAATCAAAGCCACAGTGGCCGTTCTCCTACAATTATGATATAGACAGTGCAAGTAGTGCACCATCTAGCTCAGAAAATACTCAGCATGCGCTTTAGACTTGGCACAGGGGTTATCAATGTAAATAGGAGTTTATGTGACTGCTCAGACAAGTTTGACGGACATTACAAAACATCAATGTTGATGATGTCCAATAAAAAGACCCTCGTTTGTTCTTCAGCGCAATACTGATAGGATAGGAGCGTGACGAACACTGGTAGCTTCTATATGGAGGAAGGATGAGTCTGTCATGAGAAATAAAGGTGGATGTTTGAAATATTGTAAAAATAAAGATCTGAAACTCAGTAATGAGATTTACTGGCTTTTGATGCACTGAGTTCCTTCTGTGCCATTTCTATTTTACTATAGTAGTTATTTTTTTATAGGAGCAAACACCCTACTGTTCAACTCAGAAATAATGCTGTCACTGTAACATTATAGAAAATGTGATGTCAGGTAATGTTAATCACTCTGAATCACCACAGTCAGTAAATTGATATCTAAACAATGAACACAATTTTTTTCCAAACAAAACAAGAATATATGCAGATATATACAGAGCTTACCTCCCAAAATGGCGCCCCTGTATCAATATTCAACATGGCGTGACGCATCTTCACATTCTCCATACAATTTTGAAACGTGACATTTAAATGATATTGCACAGGGGATTAGTCACTTTGTTGTATACTACAAACTGTCTGTTTTCATAGCAAAGTTTGAAGTTTTGAGTTACTTTCGCAACACAACTGGTACATCTCAGAGGCTGCTACAGTACATACAGAATGGCCTACGTTTAGAGAGCTAATGTTTCAGATGTTTTAATGAGAAATAAGTGATACCTGACAACTAAGCAGACTTTTCAGCATGACTTATTCTCTTCACGTGTCAAGTCTTGAATGACATCAGGTATTTACATACTGGAAGGTGCAAGCATCACCTCATTGCTTTATTTAACTTCCTGAGTCAAACATATCACATGGTGATACTGATCTTAAGATAACTCAGAGAATCATGCACGGGTTACTGTAATGTTGGTAGAAAGGATTATATAATGTTTTATGACAGGGTTCAAGGAACCAACAAGGAAACTCTCCTACAGTGTGGTCAAACAGGAAATGTAGTGACTGACTCATGAGTGCAGTTATACGTCACATTTTCCTGCTGGAACAAAACAACAGCAGACAGCTGGAGAGTGACACTGTAGTGGACTTTCCTTCACTGTCAGTCAGTTCTTATGCTTTCTCCCAGACACCTACTATTTTTTTCATGGTGTCTTCATTTTGAAAATTAGGACCTTCACATCTTCTTCTTCTCACTGAATACAAGTCACACTGTCTCATTAGACTTGGCACAAAATGTTCAGCCAGCTTGTTTCCCCTCAGCAGAGACAGCTACTGTACTTTCATACCAATAACATTGCACAGTTTCTCTGGTGCCACTATTGTGTGATCTCTTGTGTGTAGAGCACCTTTCTTCCAGGAAATACTTTAATATTCTTTGTTTCCAGTCATCACAGGAAAACAATTTGCCATCAAACCATACCTGAATCATTGTGGGCAGGACTGCAGTAGAGCAAAACCTGTCAGTCCCACACTTAAGGATTCTGCTGTTTGCATGTAATTTAGGTTGGCTGTGTTTGTTTTATTGTTTTTGCTGGTGTTTGTTCACAGCATACCTCAAAAAGTAATGAATGAATTTGGATTCAGTTTTTTTTGGAGAGGCAGGTTATGGCCCACGGAACAATCCATTAGACTGTAACGCTGATCCGGATCATCAACCGGATCCAAGGATTCTTCACCATTGTGAGATTGGACCAGTTTCAATATTTTTGCTTCTAACTCCATACACACTGCCTACAATGCAGCACCATAACATCCACATAAGATCTATCACACACCAATCTGACCAATATGATCTGGATCCAAGTATGATTCCGAATCTGCCGATCTGACTGTGCTAAACCATAACTCGAGTCCTGCTGCTTAAGTACCTCTTCTTTGCTGACTCCCATTCCCACAGTCTCAACGCTGTTCTCCAGCTCAGACAGTAGGGAGGCATCGCCCCGGCTCCTGCCTTCGTACAGGGACACTTCCTCCTGAAGCTCCTCCACCTGGGCCTGCAGCTGCTGTGAGCGCCCCTGTGCCGCCTCCGCCTCCTGCTGTGCTTCAGCTAGCTGGAAAACACCAGGAGGAACAGACACACACAGATGATTGAACACACACATGAACATACATACAGTAGATACAGAACTCGCAGGTGTTATGAGTCTGAAACGTCAATTCTCATTTGCAATTATGAGCATTTGGCGTAGCTTGTTCTCTACAATCACATTTTTAATTAATTTTGTTTTTACAAACTATCTTGAGTCTACAAACTGATTGTCCTGAAAGTTCCTTGTTGTATTTTAATTAAAAAGACAACATTTCTATCTAGCTTTATAGTTACATACAGACACACACCAATATACTAAAGAACTTAGCTCTAACAGTTTTTCAAAACTGGAAAAGCTACCTCTGTGTTATCAGGGAACTGAAGCATTTGGTATTTTTTGCCCCAAGTTACCCTGGATTTTTTCCCCTCCCTGTATGTATCTGGATACTAACTAGTCCCATTCCTAGAACTGTTCATCTACTGATTCTATAGGTCTGAAACCAACTAACGGGCATAATTGAATTTCTCTAACCAGCCTGGAGATCTGCATCCTAGCTGGTATTCTTCACAGAAGCCTTCAGGTGGATTACAGCTGAAACTAAGAGCTTGTGTCTTTTGAACCTTTTACTTTATAACCTGAGTAAGAAGCATAATTTACTAAAATGACACCAACACAAAAACATCATCAGCAAACACAAGCGTTTCTGTTCCTCTGCTGCAGTTTTATTTCCTTTAATTGTTTATCTTAATTCATTATGTCAGGTGCCTGATAAAGATTGTAAAGAGGAGAGGTCAACCTTGTCTAGTTAATCATTCAAGTATAAGAGACTCAGTGTTCCTGATTAATCTTTAATCAAGCTGATGGGGTCTATTATACAGTCTGGATTATTTTTGCACCTGCAGCAAAACCTTTCCATAACTTTTATTATGAAGATCCACCCGACTGACGTGAATGGTACTTTGGCATCCAGACTCACTAAAGTCTGGATTTTGTTCCGAGTTAAATATTTGATTATCTGTAGTGTTCTTCTATTATTGTCTTGAATTTGATCTAAGTGAATATTCTTTGGCAGGAACAGTGTCTGTTCAGTAAAGTCAAGAGTGTGTAATTCAGATTTAACTCACTTTTTGTTCCATAATTTGTACAGCGTAACTGATCTTTTCCTGGCTTTGTATGACTAATATGGTTGCCAAATGGGAGTCAAAACATCTTTCAAACACTCAGACCACTCTGATGGGAATCTGTCCCTGGAGATTTATTTGGTTGAGCTCTCCTTTTTTTTAAATTCCTCTCTTTCTTCTACTCTAGAGTTCAGTGAATTTTTGTGCTCTAATTCTAGCTGTTTTATCTCTTTCTGAAGTTTGTCTCATGCACCATTTAAATGCCGTCATGACACACTAGTGCAATAAAAAGAAAAAAAACCATTCATGTTTAACATAAGAGAAATCCTGATGTGCCAGATTCCAGTCTTAAGCCCAACATGAAACTAAATAAATACGAGTGGAAAACTGCAGATGAAAGTCACAATGACGGGGATGAGGTGATTGTTTAGCAATGCTTTCTACAATGCCGCCAAAACCCCTGCCCCGAGGCGGGGTTATTATTGAGACTCTCTTATTCATATGCCAATCGTACTGAGCTGGCTGCTACAATGAACACTAATCAGTGAGTATTTACTTTAATGAAAGACTATAAATGCATGCAGTATGTGTCGTATTTGTATATGTAGCCTACCTGCTGGCTGTGCTGCTGGTTGAGTTGGTCATGCAGAGCCAGGCGTGCGTGTAAAGAAGCCAAACTCGCCCTCAGCTCAGCATTTTCTTGACAGACACTCGCCAAACGTTCCTCCAGCACCTGCTCCTTCTGGGTAAGTCTCAATACCTGAAAAAAAACACACACAAATACAGATCTTAAATGTGACCAACTAAAGTTGTTTATTGAAAAATTGTTCTCCACTACTAGGTCAGATAGAGCCCATCTCCGTTGCATGGCTTCCTTTCAGTCATTAATCATAAGACCATGGGCAGTTCTGTCAGATTTGGCCTAATCTTTTTTTTTCTTTTTTAATGAAGACAGAAACACAACAGGAAGTTAATTGCAATTTTAATGCAAAAGAGGCCCAGATTAGTTTTATTTGACCTGTTCAAAAATTTACTCCAGTATTTTGTCTTCTGTTCCACCATGTTCTTCATGATAGGGCGGCACAGCAGTGCAGTGGTTAGCGCTGTTGCCTCATAGCAAGACGGTTCCGGTCTTGAGTCCGGGCCAACCCGGGGCCTTTCTGTGTGGAGCTTGCATGTTCTCCCTGTTTTCCCATGTTCTCAGCTGGGATAGGCTCCAGCCTTCCCACCCGACCTTCATTAGGATGAGCAGTATAGATAATGGATGGATACATATCTATATACACAATAAAAACCCTGAGCCAAAATGTTCCTCTGTAAATAACATTACACCACAGTGACTGCAACAAGGCAAGATGAAACAGTAGCTGACCTCACAACCAACAACTTGGAAATAAATTTAGAAACATGAAGGGTGAAAACAGGTACAGGCGTACTACTGCAGGGTGTTCTGGTCACTGTGTTTATGTGCATGTCATCTCTTCAAGACTTGAAACATTTCACCAGTCTGCCCTTTCACAGCAAACTCTGGGCTGTTTGCATTCACAGCACGTTTGTACGTGGTAGTTACCTGCTCCTTCATGGCAGTGATCAGCTCCTCATCCTCTGCTCTGTTGTGGCTTCCTTGGAGTTGGAGCTCCTGTTTCAGAGCCTGCAGCTCACTGGACATGGCTCGCTCCACCTCCATCGCCTACAACACACACCACGGAGACACTCAAGGTTCACAAATGGAGTAAAACTAAATAATCTATAGGACAGCCCTCTTTGTCTATTGTGTTTACTTCCAAGTATGAGGAGAGATTCAAGCACAGAAGAAATTCACACAACGAGAATCCAAACTATGACCAAGACATGTTTTGGAGTCAAGAGTCTATGAAGTGCTGCTGTGCCACCTCTGAAGTCCCGGTAAACCAACCACCCCCTCCCCTCCTCCTATTCTAGTCTGGGACCCTTGGTTCCCCTTACTCAGCAGTTTTGGCAGGCCACTGTCAAGTCCCATCACCACCTCACAATACAAGATAATAGGCTGGCCTCTGCAGCAGGGGACAGCTTGTTCTTATTGGTGACATCATCACTGCACATTAGACAACAATGTGGCAAAGGGTAAGCATGGTCATCAGAAGGATAAAGCAGAGAGGACAGCTTGTGTGTACATGCTTGGAGGAGTGTTCAGAGGTTAAAATTTGTGGGAAATGTGTGTGCGCGCGTCTGAGTACAGCATTCACTGAAAGACAAAAGATGAACATTTGTTTTACAGCTGCTCATCTCACCAACACGGGCCTCTTCCACAACAGAGGCAGCGACCCACCGAGAATCACCAGCAGACAACTGGCTGGAAAATGCTCCATTTGATAGAGATGCTAAGACGACATCCCCTCATGATGCCTCCCCCCCCCCCCAACCCAAAC